TACTATTAAAGGAGCCATCTTTGGAGAGTAAAATTTGGGAGGGAGAGAGATTAGGTAAAAAGAAACATTAATGAAGAGACATAAATCCAAGCCTCTAACCCTGTCCATATGAATATTATACAATATATATATATATATATATTATATTTTATTATATTGGTCTTTCCTTTTGCATATGTTTGAACTTTGAACTTGGTGAAGTTCTTTTCTGTCCAAATATGTTGAGAGTTGGATGATTTAAGTTCATAGTGTAAAATCAATTATTGTGTTATCATTAACATATATTTTAAATTCTCTATTATTTAACAAGTGATTAAAGAATGCAATTGATGTATAGAAGAATCTCTATCAAATTGTTTTGCCTCAAATTTCTTTACCATCATTCTTCTAATTGTTCATTTAACAAATTCAAATTTGTGTTTCAAAATATTTTAACTATAGACTCATGATATAATTTAAAGTTGATCATAATTTTAAGAATATTAAATTAAGAGAACCTTTTTTAGGCAAAAATTGAGAGAGAACTTTTAGCCCTAATAAATTAAATAATATTGTATTGATTATGGATCTTAATTAATTGACTTGAGGTGGGTATCTACCTCAAGTCAATTAAGATAAGTATTTTATTATCATTTATGGTGTATTATATTGGTATGCTTGATGCATATATTAGAGAGATTCACATAATATTGTTTTTTTAGTTTAACTGTTTGTTTAGGTGGGGATTCAAACTTTCGATCTTTTGAACAAATGATATATATGTTTTATAATCGAACTATGCTTAGGTTAGACTGACAATATAGGTCTTAGGTTAGAATTTAAATTAGATTTGTTAAATTAATTTCTATGTGTTTTCCGACACTAAATGTTGTAGACTCATATGGCTACTGCGTTAGATTATAGTTGAAGTACACGCAAGTTAGCCAAGACAATATAACAAAATAATAATAATAAAGTAGATGACTGAATAGTATATTACGACTTATTATAATAATATGACATGATGCGTTAATGTCGATAAATCACACATGAATACGTATCAGATCATAACATTAATGAACTAAATTGTTTATCAATTTGTCATAACATTAACATGAAATACGTATTAATTTCTCTAGTGTTTATTATTATTGTTTTTAGTACACATGTAAAAGTGGAGATTTGAACTCACGATCTTTTAGTTATAATAAATTTAACTAGTTGAGATATATTCAAATTGTATTTATTATTATTATTATTATTATCATCACCACCGATTTATTTGGTATTTCAGCTCCATGGTTTAGCATATGGTTGCTTCTCAAGTGAAAAATCATTATACTTTTCAATAGTACTTTAGATAGTGGCTTTATGTAATGGTAAGATGACTAAAAATCTCTTAGCTTTTAAATTTAAAACGTATATTTTAGTTCACGGGATAGCTTGGGTGACTTGAGACCTTGAGAAACATTGCATATGTAGACAGTGTGCATATCCCTAAGTATAGGGACATAAAGGTCAAAAGACCGTCGACTCCTGAGTAATAAAAAGAAAATTTTAAATCTATATTTGTATATTTTTTTAAGAATTAGAGCGAGCTAGGAATGAGTGAGTGAATGCTTTAAAAATCTATATCTTTAAAATAATTTAACAACTTTTTATAAGAGCCAAGTTTCGATCTTAGGACCTGTGGGTTATGGGCCCACCAGGCTTCCGCTGCGCCACTCTACTTTGTACATCTAAACTCATCTTAAAATGCCCTAAATCATAAAACAAAGCAAACTTTCTTTATCTACTTATTTGCATATGTGAAGTTAGAAACTGGACGGATTGTGAATCTTAGCAACCCAATGATGAACAAAAATCTCAAATCTTGTGAGGAAAACTGATCATAAAAACCTACCATTTTGTACACCAAAATTGAAGGTGGTAACCACAAGAAAAATATCAACTTAAATATGGTTCAACTGATCCAAATATGTATTATTGACTAAAATATTGGAGCTTGGAATCTATACCTCATATTTTCTTGAATTCATAACAAAAAAAGGCCTAGCTGTTAGGGTTTGGGGAGTACATATAGTGTGAGAGCAAGATTTAAAAAGTCGACTGTCAACATGTCGACGTGTCTAGGAGATCAACATTTCGATTGAGAGAAAAATCGTTTTTCTCCATTGTCAACGATATATCGAACTGAAACCTAATGCGACAGTAGAAAGGAACAGTTAGATGCAGTGCAAGGAGCGAAGAGAGATAGTGAGAGAGAGAGAGATATATGGAGAGGGTTGGCCACATAGGAAGAAAGATACATTTGAGATTTTATATCTAGTTCAATTATGTAAGTAAGATTATATTTGACTGTAGATTATCGATAAAAATATAATAATGCAACATTGAACTTTAATTTACTAATTCAAATAATCTTCTTCAATAACGTTCATTATCTTGTTATGATATTTCGATCGACGACCACATTTTCATTGGTAAGTCACTCATATATATTGTGGTTAAAATCGATCAATTATAACCTAATTAAGCTACGATTAAAATTTTATTCACTCATATTAAACAATTACCATCAATTTTCACAATTTTCGTGATTTTTTTCGAAATATAAATCGATGCCAACATATTTCCATCACATTCCCTTAAAATTGAGATTTCGATATTTCTATCAATATCAACATTTCAAATCTTGCGTGTGAGAGACCAAAATGAGCAAGTATTTGTCATCAACTTCATGTGCACACAGCTCTTTAAGACGATCCAAATGTATTACTATTACTGTTTCCTCTTAGCCTTCAAAATCTGCTTTAATTTATTGTGTAATCATAAACATTGCCACTATAATTTTAAATTTTGAGGGCTCAACTTATAACTTCCTTAGGCCGGGTATTAAATTTCTATCAATCAATGCGTTCAATATCGACTTAAAAATCGTGAATCGACTTTAATATCCTAAAAATAAGACAAATATATATATATAAAAATCTTGATATAATGTCCATGTTAATTTAAATATTTGTTAAGTTTTATTTTTAATTTTTTTTGTTAAAGTTACCGTTTCGATGAATTACGGAGAGGTATGTTTACATAGAAAAGAGAGGCCTAAACTCACGTGAGAAATAATAACTATATCATAATTACAAAACAAATTTGATTTGGAGGATAAACAAAAGCATTAAAAGATGATAAAAGGAGAAGCATATTTGTTAAGATTTTTTTAAAAATTTTTTTTATCTCTTTATTGATATTTTATAGATTATTTCCATATTAAGCCATATATATTATCTCAAATGGTAAGCTTTGCCCATCCCACATGTTAATAACACAAATACATACGAATTGGTTGAGTTAAACTTTAAATTGACACATGATGAAACAATTGAGTAATGAAATTCATTTACAAATCTCAAATATATAAATCAAAATATGCTAATCAAATCTAGACTTTTTAAATCGTAGACCGCTTAAAATCAAACGTTTTTTTTGTATCGATGAATCTAATACTTTATCTAAAAATATTTTAACTATATTTTAAAGGTGGATATATAGAGAAAATATATATATTAAAAGGAGGGTTAGGATATGATCTTCTTCTTCTTCTTTTGACAAAAGGATATGATCTACTATTATATATAGTTACTCACATTCAAGTCTTAACATATTATTTTTGTCCTTAAAACTTAGTTTTAGCCTTTAATAAAAGTTCTATTTTATTATCATTTTGTTTTCTTAGTGTTTTATGCGAGAACCGAGGTTGTTTATTAATAACTTCTTCCATTTTTTGTTTGCTTTTCAAAAGTTAAGATTAAGAAATAAATAATACATTTTAAGAACTTACTTTTATTTATTTATTTATTTATTTTTAATTCTGCTATCATTTGAAAAGTAAATTAAGAAACTAAAAATGTTTTAATAGAAGTGGGGAATTCGGATTTCCAGCTTTCTATAGAGGTAAGAAATGATTTAGTCATTGGTAGTTAATTTTTATTAATTATTTAACATAAAATCCGAATCCTTAAAATATATGACGACACCTAATATACTATATATAACTTCAAGTATTGAAAATACATATCTTTTAATTTTTTTTTTTTATAAAAAAAGTAGGTTAGTAAAGAAAACATATATATGAGGTATCTTTGCTAAAAAAAAAACATAAAATATGAGGTAACACACCTACATTTGCATGTTTTTTTCGTTATTTTAATACTTACCGCTAAATTTCAAGACCAAACAATTTCTTTTATATCATTTCGTTGGATATTAATATCACAAGGAGTTATCATAAGAAAAATTATTTAATATAGTCTTTTTAAAAGTTGATCAAAATGGGGGATTCGACTTTTTTTTTAGTCAAAATATATATTTTATTTTTATAATCGTGTGTGTTTGAAACAACTTGTCATTATATGTTTTAATCTATTGATCTATTGATCTATGCTCAGTTGAATTATTCAATATAGTTATACCCTCCTAACTATTGAGTACATAGTCAATCAACTCAATTTACAAGTTTTGATCGGACGACCAATTCTTCTAAAGTCTATTTTCTTTTTTTACATGCTTGAAAACCTACTAGACCAATTCATGGTATAGTTAAGTTACCAATTTGTGTGACACAGATCTACGTCTCATTTCTCACATAAATGAATACACAATTGATTAACATATATATCTATAGATGAGAGGTCTAAATCTCCCCCCAATATATTGTTTCGAAAAAATTAAAAAAAAAAAAGCTAACAGTAAAAATCAAAATAAATTTTTTTATGCAAAGTATAATACATAACATTTGCTAATATGTTAAACTATTTTTTTAAATGTACAGCAGGTGAGAGTGAGTGAGGATTCAAATTCATTGCCTCGACGAGCTGAATTGTCAAGACATCTTTGCCGTGAATTAAATCCCACATTTGTTCTAAGGAAAATAAGAAATACACAACATATTTAAAATTAATTAAAAATGGAAATTGGTGCAAGGGCAAGGGCACATTCCAAAATAAAGTGGAGCAAGCTTACAAATTTACATTTTTGGAAAAATATTGCTTTCCAATGTAAACAATGGTTAACGCCAAAATTTCTCCCATTGCGGCTTCTGCTTCTGCAAGCAATCGGCCATCAGGTACGAGAATGATCGCTCGCACAATCTGTATCTATCGCTTTCTCCCTCACTCAACCAATTGCAACCCCTCTTTCTCTCTTTCCTCTCTCCATTGCCCTTATTTTCATCGGGTTTTTGGTTAATTGTTGTAAAATACGGATGGGTTTCAATCAGTTGTGTTTTCATCTTTGATTTCTGACATTTCTTGCGTTTCTAATCTTAAGCATGCAAAGAAAAAGGAAAAGATAGTGATGGGAAGGATTTGGATTTCTCGACGATGTTTAATTTTCATGAGATAATCTGTTTTTTTTTTACCCTGCATATTCTCTGCGTGATGTGATTCTCAGGTTGAAGTATTATGGGTCTGAGATTGGGAGATTAATGTTGCATGTCCACTCCGGTTTCAGCTGGAAAATAATAATGTCATTTTTAGTGTAGCATGTCGTGTTTCAAATTCTGTTTGCGATGTTGAACCTTTGTTAGATTTCTTCGCTTAGATGTTCAGCTGATCGTATTGAATTGTATGAATGCCTTTGACAATTTTGAATGAGGATGCACCGGTGCTAAGCACCAAATAAGTTCAAAAGATTGCATTTTGTGTGAGTTTAACTATTAGTTTCCCTTTTGGTGATTTTATTTTGTTACGTCCTTGAATTATTCCACTAATATTTGAGAAGCTTTGCCGACCCTGGAGCCAGCTCTAGGAAACAACCAGCCTTTAAGCTAATAAATTCTTTAAATTGGGGCTTGAACCAGCCTTTAGGCGCCTTTCAGTAAAATTTTTTCCTTCTACTTTTTTCGATTCAGCATTTTAGATTGAACAAGCCGGTTCACCAATGCATAGTGTTAATTACATAGCTACAGCCACGAAATGTACATAATCCTCTTACTTACAACATGAATACGAAATTTGTAGTAAATAATCCTCAAGAGTGCAATTTCAAGTTGTTGTAATCTTTTGCATCAAGTTAACGACAATCCTCAAGAGCGCCAAACCTTTGCTTGTTATTTTGGGAAAAAAAAAGGTTGGTCTCCTTGTCGTAAACCTCGAACCTCTTGTAACCTTTATTCTCCATCTTGGTCTATCATTGATGAACATAGGAAATTTTGTATTAGTTATGTATCATTTTATCCATTCTATCTATTTTGTCCCAGAGCCTTTCTTTCAGAATCAACCATATCATAGGCCTTCTAAAGATGATCAATTTTGTTTTCCACTTGCACTTCCTCCACTTTTTCTAATCTTCTATGGTTTAATTTGCAACAAATATCGGATGTAGAATTTGTCTCCTTGTTGGGTTAATGCTTCAACTTTTCTGCGAGGACCTTTACAAGGACGTTGTAAAAATGCTCGTAACCAAACTGGTTATTCTAAAGTCCTTTAAACTTACTGCTTTCTCTTTTTTCTTTGTGAGACAAAACTAGGGTAGCACCTGTTTTCATTAGTTTTAAGAAAATAGGGAGCAATATATATCTCAGAATGTTAGACCCATTGTCAAGAAACTTAACTACTTTGGTCCCTGAATCTGATTTCGTAGATCATCAGCTTAAAAAAATGGTTGAGATGACTGAAGGGGCTTTTCCTCAAAAGGCATTGCTCTATATACCATGACAGTATGGGTAATAAGGGGCAGAACTAGACCATTATATGGTTATGAAAGAACAAAACAATATAATATATAAGAGTTCAAATGGCTATCATACCTGAAATTGAATGATGTTTTCTACTTACCATTTAATCCTTCTCTTTTATATGAGTTAGAAATGTCAAGTCAATTAACTCGTACAATGATGTAGTAGTACACTAGTACTTTTGAAATTAAGATAGAAAAGAACAAAGAGAGAACTTTCTTGAAGCTACCTTGACTTCTATTTGGAAGTTCAATCTTTGCTCAAGTGGAAATTAATTCTTTTGGAAGGATCAAATTTGTAGTCTATCCTTATATGTTTGTTAGTCTTGAAGATCCTTGGACTAACCATTTGCAATGGTGCGTATCCAAATATGTGGCCTAGTACAGTGTCATCCTTTACATTAGTTGATAACAATTTACTTGTTCTAATGGGTTACAATGTTTTGGAGCCTCAACATTTGAAATTGACATTGATTTGGTGTTTGAATGTGATAGTTCTCATAAATTCTGGATATACTAAACAATAAAAGTGCAATAGAAACTCTTGATACTAAATGACTGGATTCATCATGCAAGCATAATCTTGGAATTAAGTTATGAACTTGCTTCTCTTGAAAGGAGTTTGTTATCTATCTTTGAACTTTCACATTCTAGTGTAATTAATTGCATATTTTTGTAACTGTTATATGTGAAATGCAGTACATCTTATCTTGCTAGAAAATTAATCTGTTTAGGTTATACTGGAAATTTGCACTCACTGGAATGTTTCCCCAGACCAAGAGGGAGGAAAATGGCTAGCAATAGTGTTTATTCAACTTTGGCATGCGATGACATCCTCACAGAAATCCTCCTTCGATTGCCTGAGAAATCCGTCTTCAAATTTATACTTGTGTCCAAAAGATGGCTATACTTGATCTGTAGTTCTTCTTTTCGCCGTTGTTACGAAAATCAATGGGGCACTCACAGTCATCTATTAGGTTTTTTCGTATGCAACTTTCTTTACATTGACAGACCACAAGACGGGTTGAGGCGTCCACGATTCGAGCCTGCTCTACCTCTACTTTCAACTTGTAAAGAGGGTGATGATTTAATGTCATCTGGAATCTTAAAGCAGCTTGGCTATTTCATTGACTACTCTCATGGCCTTCTTCTCTGTGGCCGGCATCCAAGAAATTATTATGTCTGGGATTCCGTCACCAAGAACCGGCGCCAACTTCCTCAACCTCGAAAGCACTACAAATATCTATGTACAGCATTCATGACTGAAGACCTGGGCGGAGATATTGTATATAGGGTTGTTCGGGCAAACTGTGAATGCAAAGTTGATGTGATCAACACCATCTCCATAGAGACTTTCTCCTCACTAACTTGGACATGGAAGCAATCCACTCTTGTTTGTTCTCCAGATTTTGCCTTGAGCCCGTGGACGGTGGGCACCATAATAAAGGGAGTCATCCACTGGTTCGGAACGTATCGAAGTTTAGCCATTTATGATCCAGAATTTGGAGAAAGGCGCATAACTTCAATCAAGCTACCTGTTGGTCAGCTGACTTTTGATTATGAGGATTCCATTTTAGGAGAGTCATCTGATGGACTTCTGCAGTATGGTCAAAGTGGAAGGCTGGGGTTGGAGACATGGGTTCTCTGTAAGGAACGAGAAAACTCCTCGTCTCCTTGCACCGTGAATGCCCGTTGCGAGTACCGGTGGGGGCTACGACACAAATTAAGCTACAAAGACATGTGGAAGCACAACCCAAATTCAGGTATTCGGTCTAAAGAACCTCAAATATTATCATTTGTTCGTCGTAATTCCGAATCGGTTTTCATCAGGCTGGGATCGAACATCTACCGGTGCAACGTCGAAAGCAAAAGGCTGGAAGTGATTCCTTACCATTGTGATGCTGCTTCTATCCCTTGGGATTTTTGTAAAGTAGTGCCTTACTTTCAACAGATATGGCCTCATTTCCCTTTGCGTTTCACCCCTAAAAGTTTGAAACCTTGTGCTTTATTTTCTGGAGCAGCTCTTCAATATGTAAAATGACTATTAGATGCCTTTCTCTGCCCAATTTCTTCTTTTGTTACTCAATGATGATCCTTTTTTGTTGATTCAGATTTAAATTTTGCTTTTTCGCTTATCGTTTTTAAGWAGTGTGTTCATTTACCAAGCTTTCTTTTTCCTTGTGTACTTTCAGAATCGTTTTTCAAATTAGAATTTAGAAAGGAAAAAAATAATGTGGTTCTTAAAAACTTGTTATCGTCATTGGAATTTGACTTTGATTTCAAGTTTTGTTAAAATGTGAAATTTGGTGATAGAGCGAGGCTAGGTAAAATATATTCACAACAAAAATTACTATTTCCAATATGTTAAAGTTAAGTTACACTTTTAGTGAGATGAGGAATAGTGAAAGGTATGACATCATGAGGGGTGAATCGACGTTTTTGTAGTATTACAAAATATATTAACATAACGGTTTCATAAGTAGTATCTGTTAGTTTAAATATTTGCCACACAATTTTTTAATGATTTTTTTTTCTTAAAACCTTTTTTTTTAATTGATTTTTTATCATACAATTGAGACATTGACCATCTTATTGAATCAACTTTGATAGTGAGATAATCTATTAGGTTACATTACTTTAATTTTAATCTAATATATTCATGTTAGAAATCTATCATATACGAAATTAGACATTTTTAAAAATTTCGAATAGGTTACGGATATATTAAATACAAAATTAGAAGATTAGGGACTTGTTAGTCATTTTTAAATAAAACTTTAAAATTTCAACTCGTAATTTAACAAATATTTTTTTAAAAAATATATATAATAACAAATTGAAACTAGATTAAATTGGAGGCTCATAAATGCAAATTATTTATTACATGCAGAAGAAAAAAGGGAAAAAAGAAGGAAGAAGATGAAATATGATGGATGTTAATGATGATTTGAATCGTAGGGTGAGGATGAAGGGTTGATTGTCCAGCCATGTTGGTCGCCATGCGAAGACATATAAAAGCATTTCGGTTGAGAGGGAAAGAAAGAGAGACTTGGTAGCCACGGATTGGCGCGAAATTAAAGGGAACTACCGAATTTACCGGCCTTTCTGAACAATGTCACTCCCACAATCCATCGGATCCAGATTCACTAGCTCTCTCTCTCTAAAGCAGACAAAATTTACTTTCTCAGATCACAATACCCTCTTTTGGTTCATTTTTTTCACTTTTCTTTCCACCAATCTTTCTGGGAAATGTCTCTTTCGTCCATTTTCTTGCATTACACTCCCACCCATCTTTGATTTACTCCCTGTTCTTCTGCTTTCTGATGTGAATTTAAGCCATGATTTTTGCCAAAAGGGCCATTTGGGGTGCCATTTTTAGCCGTCCTGTCGCTGGTATGCTGTATGAATTAGGCAGCTGAGGTGTTTGAAGAAAGTACCCAATCGTCAACAGGCTTCAGATTGCAGCATTACAAATGGTTGGTGAACTTCCATCAGATATCTTGATTCAGTCACACTAAAAAAGTGCTTCTTTGCAGGTTTTATGTTTGGATGTATTATTTATTTGGAAGATCAAAATGGGCAAAGAATCACAGAAATATTTATTGCATCGTGATCTGATGCTGGTGATTTCATTGCTAGATGTTTTTGGATTAATTTTTGTTCAAAATCTTCAAACAGACCTTGAAAATAATGCATATTAAAAGGAGTGTGGGAAGTTAATGGTGAAGGGTAAAGGTTTTCTGCTTAAAGGAAATATGTATTGCAGATTATAATTATGCTGGAAACTTTAGCTGATGATTCTTTCTTGTATTCTGTGATACCATGAGATGTTTGTATGAAAATTTAAGGCTCATGATTAAGGGCAAAAGTATACGGGGTTGGGGGGATGGGCACTAACAGGTGAAAATTCAATCAATATCCCTTAATAACTGGATCTTGTCATCAAAGGGTAGAAATTTTGCAGTAGGATGGATGCTGTCTATCTGTCATATAGGTTTCCTAGTTAATTTCTCTCTCTTGGGATGTTTATTTAGGAATTGGACACTGAAAATTTTCCTTGTTAGAAACTAAGTTCAGAAAGACAGTGCTTCCATTGAATATATAGAGAAACTGAGGAACAATTTAGTTTGTGGTAGATGCCTCCCTTTTATGGGTGGAAGGATTCTAACAATTAGCAAGAAGTGTGCAGATGTAACATGTAAAGTTTCGAGAAACCTTATTTTACTTAGGAAAGAAGTTACAGTTTCAAAATAATTCCTAGGTGCCACTTTGCATAATTTCTGTTAGCTTCTTGTTAGGGGTGTTAACATTTCATAAATATGCCTCTTCAGATATAATTTTAAACTATTATTACTTTCTAAAAACATTTCAAATGTGATCCTTTCTGAATAAAGTTTTTCTTTTCGACGTATGCAGGGTACTCCAGTTAACATTATTGTAGGTTCTCATGTCTGGATTGAAGATCCAGAAGTTGCTTGGCTTGATGGACAGGTTTCCAAGATTACAGGGCAGGAAGCTGAGATCGAAGCCAGCAATGGGAAAAAAGTAGGCAAATATCTTATCTTTTTGTCTTATGTTTTTTCCTAATAGGAATTGACATTTTACTATAAGACAAACATTTATAGGAAGAGCAGAAGGCAAGAAATCCCACTACAAAGGGGGGGAAGAAAGAATATAAACAGTGAAACTATCACATCAGTTCGTTAAAATAAAAAGAAAAAAGAGTGTCACTTGGAGGATTTAGATTATGTTTGCAATTTCCTAGTAAATATGTGTAGTTAGGGATTTAATTTAAGAAATGCATGCTTACCCCATACTGAACATGTGCAGGAAACTACCAACTTGATGTCAATTTCTGAAAAAATATATATATTTTTATAACTAGGAGTCAGAGTCAATTTCTGAAAATTTTAAGAAACATAGTCTGGTTCCATACATATATTTCCGGCATGACCCTTCTGCATCCTTTGTGTTTTCTCTTTTCCCTGTCTTTTTTTTCCCTATTTACTAATAATTACTCAATGGCTTGTTAAAATAACGTCATATAACATTTCCCTGGGGTTCTTTTAGACTAGTTGTTTGTCAAGTTTATTTTAAAATTTTCCAAATACTTGGAATGAAAATAAAAGTTAGTTAAGTTGACGATAAAAAGTTGTTGGTTTAATGGTAATTTTTTTTTATCAAGAAACTATTTCGTTGATATATGAAATATGATAACAAAAGGGGCCCAAATTGGGCTACTAATTTAATTTATTCATATAAAATACCCTTCAAGTTTATGTTAGGCATGATTATATTTTCTCTTTTTAGCTACAGTTAAATCAGATGTGTAGCCTCTGTTAGAAACTGTGAACGTTCAAATTTACACTTAGTCCACTGTAAATATCTCCTTTCGTATGTCTCACAAATATTGGTTTGTGTGTCATTCTATTTTGGCATTTTAGGTTGTTGCAAAATTATCCAAAATATACCCAAAAGATATGGAGGCTCCAGCTGGTGGCGTTGATGACATGACGAAGCTATCTTACTTGCATGAGCCTGGAGTTCTACAAAATTTAAAAATTCGATATGAACTCAATGAAATCTATGTAAATTTCCACTCTTCATATTGTAACTGTCACTTTGTTCTTGAAAAAAATGATATCTGATAATATTCCTTGTTATTGCAGACCTACACTGGCAATATTCTTATTGCAATTAATCCATTCCAAAGACTTCCTCATATTTATGATGGTCACATGATGCAACAATACAAAGGAGCACCATTTGGAGAACTGAGTCCTCATGTTTTTGCCGTTGCTGATGTTGCATACAGGTTAAACTTCGACATGTTACTCTTGAAGAACCTCCACGTATCTATGATTAACATTTATACTAAAACAGGGCAATGATTAATGAGGGTAAAAGCAATTCGATTCTTGTCAGTGGTGAAAGTGGAGCAGGGAAAACTGAAACCACAAAAATGCTCATGCGGTACCTTGCATTTTTAGGTGGCCGGGTAGCCACTGAAGGACGAACAGTTGAGCAACAAGTTCTTGAGGTATGGTAAATTATAACTTCCATATAAAACCAAACCACCGTTTTTTTCCCAGTACAGCAAGACAAGTTTTAACTAGCTTTGTTTCTTCCTTAAATCTTATGAAATCATCTTTTGATTCAAGTCTCATGGTATTTTCTCCCCTTGATCTATATGCAGTCAAATCCAGTGCTTGAAGCTTTTGGAAATGCTAAAACTGTTAGAAATAACAATTCCAGGTAAGATTCTTCCACTTGCCAAAAATGTAGAAAATTATTTTCCCAAGATAGAACTTTTACTTTATTGCTAAGAAAATAATGCATGAAGCAATTAGTTTGATAACATGAGGTTGCTCACGAACTCATTTCTAGAAACTAAYTAAAACAGCACAAATTATCATTTTTCAAATTATTGCTGAGGATTATTCTGTCCATACAGTCGCTTTGGTAAATTTGTTGAAATCCAGTTTGACAAGCATGGAAGAATCTCAGGAGCAGCCATCCGAACTTACCTTCTTGAGAGATCTCGTGTTTGCCAAGTTTCTGATCCTGAGCGCAATTATCACTGCTTTTACCTCCTTTGTGCTGCACCTCAGGAGGTATTCAGCAGTTTTTTTTTTGACACCAGTAGCTAAGAATTTGAGATTATTTAGGACACGTGCACATGTGACTTGGCATAGCCGTGGTTTGTGAGTTAGGGTTGTTTGTGGTATGACAGGAAATTGAAAAATACAAGCTGGGAAATCCCAAGTCATTTCATTACCTTAATCAATCAAATTGCTATGAACTGGTCGATGTAAGTGATGCTCATGACTACCTAGCCACTAGAAGAGCTATGGATATTGTTGGAATTAGTGCTAAGGAGCAGGTATGGTATCTGCTGAAGCTTGTAACTAATTCCTAACTTTGAGCAAAGTTAGTAATCTTCTTATGTCCATCCTCTCTTCTCTCTCTTTCCTACGTCAGGAAGCAATTTTTAGGGTTGTTGCTGCTATTCTTCATCTTGGAAATATTGAATTTACAAAGGGCAAAGATGTTGATTCATCAGTTCCAAAAGATGACAAGGCCAAATTTCATCTTAAAATGACTGCAGAGCTTCTCATGTACTCATCCTGCATTAAAATGGTGCTTCATATGTTTGCATCCTTTTATTTTGGCGGTATTCATCTAACTGAACTTGTTTCAGGTGTGATGCTGTTGGCCTTGAAGATGCATTATGCAAGCGTGTCATGATCACCCCTGAAGAAGTGATAAAACGTAGCTTGGATCCTCAAAGTGCGGCTGTTAGCCGAGATGGTTTGGCCAAAACTATATATTCTCGACTATTTGACTGGTTAGATCCCTGATTTTACAAGATGTCATCCACTTTAATGGCTAAGCATTGAACTACACCCTGAAACTATCATACAGAAAGAAATTTTGAGTTTCATATGGATCTATATGTATGTTTTCCCCACGTGCAGGTTGGTTGATAAAATTAATGTCTCAATTGGACAAGATCCTAATTCCAAGTCCCTGATCGGGGTCCTTGATATCTATGGTTTTGAAAGCTTCAAAGCTAACAGGTAAGGAATAATGATTGTAGATATGGATATGGATTTAAGTGTTCCAAGCAACTCAGAATCAAAGAGATGAACAAAAAAGAAAAATCGAACAGATCTAAGCATTAATGGCCACTGGTTGATGAAATAGCATGAGTTCTCATTGGAGTCCCATTATTAGTTTAGCTTAGCTTCTTGTAATCTTGGTAATATACTGAAATCTTATGCACGGTAAATGGCATCATTTGCAATGGTCATGTCATTATTCGTAGTAATATGTAAGGAATCCTCCTCACTTTGTAGTTGTACTTCGGAAATTCTTGTAACTTAATTTCAGCATATCATGCTGTGCAGTTTTGAGCAGTTCTGTATTAATTTCACAAATGAGAAGTTACAGCAGCACTTCAATCAGGTGACTTCCAGATATCATTACACCATTTAAGCCTTCTATTTTTTTTCCCAGTAGTTAATATACATTTTTCTGGGTGTCCAGCACGTTTTCAAAATGGAACAAGAAGAATACACGAAAGAAGAGATTGATTGGAGCTACATTGAGTTTGTCGACAATCAAGATGTGTTGGATCTTATTGAAAAGGTTAAATATCTAGTTCTAAAGTCTTACGAATATTCTCATGATTACTTCTCTTATTCAAATTATTAAGGAAAAAATTTGTTTGTTGATTCTTGGAGTATTTTCTGTTACTGTTGTGTTACTTTCATGTAAACTAGAACAATTTTATATGATTGCAATGGAGGAGAGAAAAAAGAAGAGGAAGGAAAATTCAAACGTGGGATAATGAGAGATGAAAAAAAAAAACAACTGGGACTATCCTTTGACTCGTATTGTGAGTTTCAACCAAGTACACTCAGATGCATCAAATAGTTCCTTGAACATTGCGCTGTTATCAGATGCAAGGTAGGGAAAAGGAGCATGAAAGAAGTTACATAGGTTGTCATTTTGATTCAAGAAATTTTTATGAGAAAATATGTTCAGATTTTAATATCCTTCTGAGTTTTGACTATGGATTAGAAATATTCTTATACTCAATTCTTTTGCATTCATATTATCATCATTTTCTTAAGCTAGTTGTGGTATCTTTATTTGACAGAAACCTGGTGGAATTGTGGCTCTCCTTGATGAAGCTTGGTAAGCTAATTTTATTCTAAATTGTCACTTTTCAGAGAGGTTAACCATTATCAGTTAGCGGAATTCCTTGTCATTATCACGATTCTTAGAGAAGTTGTAGCTTATGTGTTGTTTATAGTCAAATTATTTTTTATTGAATAAAGGATGATCTTTTGTAGTTCTATCCAATTTTAACTTGTAAGTTGCCCTTTCTCGTTCTTTCAGCATGTTCCCAAAGTCAACACATGAAACATTTGCTAACAAGCTCTATCAGACTTTCAAGAGTCATAAGCGGTTTATAAAACCCAAACTTTCTCGAACAGACTTTACCATTGCTCATTATGCTGGAGAGGTAACATCAACTAAGGCATAATTTTGTTCATGCCAGGGAAGATTTTACGCTTACCATTAAAGTACTTGTTTTCAGGTTTTATATCAATCTGAACAGTTTTTGGACAAAAACAAGGATTACGTTGTTCCTGAACATCAGGATTTGTTGGGTGCCTCCAAGTGTCCATTTGTAGCTGGCCTTTTCCCTCCACTAAAAGAAGAATCTGCAAAATCTTCCAAGTTCTCTTCCATTGGGTCTCGCTTTAAGGTATCTCTAAATCATAATGACCAAAACAATTTATTTATGAATAGAGGAACACAAGAAATTCAAACCTCATTATTATAAATTTTACTAAAAAGAAGCAAGAGGATGAAATTGTTTTTTATTTATTAGTTACTGAATCTAAATGAAATGTACCATTCTAACTTGATCCTTCTGAAACTGAGATATCTTTATGTGTTAAAGGACCTTGACCTTAAGTGTTGAATTCTATGTTGTGCAGCTACAACTACAACAGTTAATGGAAACATTAAATTCTACAGAACCTCACTACATCAGATGTGTGAAGCCAAACAATCTCTTAAAACCTGCCATCTTTGAGAATGTCAACATAATGCAACAGCTGCGTTGTGGTGTGAGTACTACTTTTCTTCTCTCTTATTTTGTTCGGCTTGTAACTGGATTTTGATTCCCCCTTTCTACAATGATTTCATGATGCTTTTATAGGGTGTCTTGGAAGCAATCAGGATCAGTTGTGCTGGGTACCCTACTCGCCGTGCTTTCTTTGAATTCATTAACCGATTTGGAATTCTAGCTCAAGAATCATTAGAAGGAAAGTAAGTATTTTAGTTTAGAATATATTTCAGTTCTCTCTCATTCTCATACAGTCTCTCTTAGACTTGGTGGTGTTGGGAAAGAGGGAGCATATCTGATGTTCATTATGTAACTACATTGCTATAAGGAGTTAATATTCGGCATTCTGAAACCACCTTCTTTTCTTGGTGAGCAGCTATGACGAAAAAGCTGTGTGTAAAAAGATATTAGAAAAGCAGGGACTTAAAGGGTTTCAGGTAAACAGAGTTCCTTTGCAGCTTTTTTAATACCTATTTCGATGTGAAAATATTCCTTTCTTATATTTAATACACTCTGAAAACTGAAATAATCTCAACTTGCACAATCATGACCTAAACCAATGGAAATTTGATCAAAAGATTGTGATATTTTTTCAATTTTGACAACAATGGAGTTGATGTGTTCAAAACATCTATGGATATCACATATTAATGTAATTTATGCCCAAGTATGCTGTCACTTATAGGTGTTCATGAGCGATATGTTTTGACTTGCATTTTGCAGATAGGTAAGACAAAAGTATTCCTTAGGGCTGGTCAGATGGCTGAATTAGACGCACGAAGAGCAGAGGTGCTGAGTAATGCAGCAAAGACTATTCAACGGCGCACACGAACCCATATTGCTCGTAAACAGTTTATTGCATTACGAAAGGCAACCATACATGTGCAATCTAGGTGGAGAGGTCAGTCCTTTAAAATAGTTTTCCAGTATATGAGTTCTAAAACAATCAGTCCTTTAAAATAATTTTCCCGTATATGAGTTCTAAAACAATCATTAATGCTATTGTTGTGCTATTCTAAAGGACCCTTAAAAAAAAATTATGCAATTTTCTAAGCTTTCTGTTAAGCAAGTTACTACATTTCTTTTATTACTTGTTATTATATGACATGATTGTAGGAAAACTGGCTTGCAAACTTTTCAAGAATTTGAAGAGGGAGGCAGCTGCTGTGAAAATTCAGAAGAATGCTCGAAGATTTCACGCGAGAAAATCCTATAAAAAACTACAAATTTCAGTGCTTGCTGTGCAAACTGGTTTAAGGGCAATGGCAGCAAGGAACGAATTCAGATTTAGGAAGCAGACCAAGGCGGCAATTATCATTCAGGTTACATACTAATATTTTAATTGACCCAAGAGATCTCTTATTGTTATTGTTAGATTAAATATTTCTCCATTACATGTAAAACTGCAGGCTCGATGGCGTTGCCATAAAGCTGCCTCATACTATAAGAAACTTCAGAGAGGCTCAGTAATTGCACAATGTAGATGGAGGGGAAAGGTCGCAAGAAAGGAACTTAGAAAACTCAAATTGGTGAGCAGAGATCAATTCTTTATCTAGTATAGAATTTTAACTATGCTCAATTAGAAAACTCAAATTGCACAATGTAGACGGAGGGGAAAAGTTGGAAAGTTCTTTTTACTTGTAGATCCTGACTTTAATTGATTCAATATTACTTTTATTGAATGATTGCAGTTATTGACATTTTGGAATTAATTGTAATACTGATCTTATATAGTAGCATGTCTAGGATGCTTTTAGTATCTAGTAGGCTCCATTGGTATTTTGTTGTTTATTCTTAAATCTCAAGTTTATTTACATTCTGCTGAACCAAAAGATTTAGTCTCTTATCTGATCTTTTCGCAGCTCTTGGATACAGGGATACTTTGATTATAGATATGAATAGAAGTAGCATTTTTATATATTCTATATTCATAGAAATGTCAAACCAAGTTTTTTTCTGAGAATCTTGTTCAGCGTTTCCAATATTGGTAACTTAAAACAAAATTTTTCAGGCTGCAAGGGAGACTGGCGCACTAAAAGAAGCAAAGGATAAGTTGGAAAAGAAAGTGGAGGAGCTTACTTGGCGCATACAACTAGAAAAACGTCTAAGGGTAATCTAGAATGAACTAGTCAATTTGAAACCATCAATTATTTGTAGTTGTGATCATCCTTAGAGTCGTGTGACTACAGTATAGTGCTGTGATATACATATTTTGCATGGTGAAGCTTTGAATCATATATGCAGACGGACCTGGAAGAGGCAAAAGCACAGGAGATAGCGAAATTACAAAATTCCTTGCAAGAAATGCAGGCCAAAGTTGAAGAAACTAACTCAATTCTAGTAAAGGAGCGAGAGGCTGTCAAGAAGGCTGTTGAAGAAGCACCTCCCGTTATACAAGAAACCCAAGTTCTTGTTGAAGATACTATGAAAATTGATGCTTTGACAGCAGAAGTAGAAAGCTTAAAGGTAGTAATGATTTGGTTCTTCATATAAACTGCATTTAGCTGAATCATTTTTTACTGTTAGCATTTTCTTTTTCATATTTGGGTCTTAGCATATTGAGACTAGAATATTAGTAGTTATGCAAGTTCTTGGAAGTTAATGATTTGGCCTAATTTCATTGGTGACAAACTTTTATTTTGCATTTCCCAATATTTTCTTTATGTTTATGATTGAAGAAAGTCAATTTATTGCTTAAGTAGCTTATCCCCTAGACATTCTAGTGTAATATATTAGCATTTACACTTGTGACATAATCAACTAGAGTAAATAGTAATTGTTTCAGGCTTTGAGAAACTGGGTTCATATTGATAGATGACTGATAATGTTTTTTAAACTGATTAACACCTTAATTTTACGACTTCTCAGACCTCACTGGAGACGGAGAAAAGTAGAGCCGATGAATATGAGAAAAAATGTGGTGAAGTAGAACAGTCTAGAGATGAACAGCGTAAAAAGTTAGAAGATACTGAGAAAAAAGCTCATCAGCTCCAGGAATCATTGACCAGGTAATATCATTATTTTGAGAATGGATAGAAAAATAGTTCTGTTACCACATTTTTGGATTGCCACTATTATGCACAGTAGGAAGTATTTTTAAATATTTAATAATGTGGAACCTGCTGGAAATGAATTGTTCACCTTTCTGCTGACCTTTGTAGATAAACAATATTTAACTCATCTTTACCAAAAATCCATTTAGATTGCAGCATAATATTGTCGATAAATGTGCCAATAATATTCTGAACCTGATTGTATAACAATCCTCTGTACAAGTTTAAGAACACGTGGGTTGTCTTTTACCCTGAGAGAGCTAAAAATTTGATTTTCATGACATGGTTAACTGAACACTCTCTTGATTAGGCTAGAAGAGAAGCTTTCCAATTTGGAATCAGAGAATCAAGTTTTACGCCAACAAGCTGTCTCTATGGCACCTAATAAACTCCTCTCCGGACGGTCTCGATCAATTCTTCAGGTATTATGAGATATTAGTACTGTATGATAGATTAATAACTTAATTTTAACTATATTATGATGTTGGATATATTTACTTGTGAAATTTTTATGCCAAATGACAGAGGGGTGCTGAAAGTGGTCACTATGGAGGGGAAGGGAGGACACCTTTGGTCAGTAAAGCTTTTCTTGACCTTAAAAGTTTGAAGGAACAAATAAAGTCACTTTCCTTATTCCATTTTTATGTTTCTTACCTTAATATTACTATCTGATGAACTGAATCAGGATCTACACAGCCCTTCTATTAACCAAAGGGATGCAGAAGTCGAGGATAAACCTCAAAAATCACTTAATGAGAAACAGCAAGAGAATCAGGAATTGCTCATTAGATGTATTGCTCAGCACCTAGGCTTTGCAGGAAACAGGCCAATTGCTGCTTGTATCATCTACAAGTGCCTGCTTCAGTGGAGGTCATTTGAAGTCGAACGCACCAGTGTATTTGATAGGATAATTCAAACCATAGGCCATGCAATTGAGGTTCAACTGATTGACCTTATGCTCCACCACTCTTTTGTACATGTCTCTCTAACATTAAGCATTTCCATTTCAGACCCAGGATAACAATGATGTCTTGGCCTATTGGTTGTCCAATGCTTCAACGCTTCTCTTACTGCTTCAGCGCACTTTGAAAGCTAGTGGTGCGGCTGGAATGGCTCCACAGCGTCGGCGATCATCGTCGGCTACGCTATTTGGGAGGATGACTCAAGTAAGTACAAGAGAATTCACAAATCCTTTTTATTCTGTGCATAAACTAGTATCATATTTAAACATCTTTCTTCTCCAACTTTTTCTAGAGTTTTCGAGGAGCTCCACAGGGAGTCAACCTATCCTTAATCAATGGTGGAACTGGTGGAGGAGTTGACACTTTAAGACAAGTTGAAGCAAAGTACCCTGCTTTGCTTTTCAAGCAGCAGCTGACAGCATATGTAGAGAAAATTTATGGAATGATAAGAGATAATTTGAAGAAAGAAATTTCCCCATTGCTAGGATTGTGCATCCAGGTAATATTTTCAGAAGAAGTACAAAATACCTATGCTTCATGATTTAGCTGTTTAACTTATTCATTTTGTTTCTTCCTAACCATTAAATGCATATTTTTTAACTGAAAAGGCACCAAGAACATCAAGGGCAAGTTTAGTGAAGGGATCTTCTCGTTCTGTTGCCACAACAGAGGCCCAGCGCGCCTTAATTGCTCACTGGCAAGGAATTGTGAAGAGCCTTGGAAACTTCTTAAACACCTTAAAAGCAAATCATGTATGCAGAATCTTATGTCAGTCTGTTCTGTATCTTCTTTTCGTAAATACGGTAGACCAGTTATCATAGTCAATTTACTAAGTTATTGGTGATATGTGAAGTTTAAACTATCTCTTTACTGATTGTTATACTCCATAAGCATATGAAGCTATGATTACTTATTTGCTTGTTTTTGAACATTATTCTTTTTCTGAAACATATATTCTTTTTTCCTTCCTGTATCTTATGTCACTGTAGGTACCCCCGTTTTTAGTTCGGAAAGTCTTCATACAAATATTTTCTTTTATCAACGTTCAACTATTTAACAGGCATGCAGCTTTTCCATTTCTTGTTTTTGATTTAACTAAGCACTTTTCTCAGTCAGCAAACATGTTTACTTCTTTGACAGTCTTCTTTTACGACGAGAATGTTGTTCATTTAGCAATGGCGAATACGTCAAAGCTGGGCTGTCTGAATTAGAACATTGGTGTTATAAGGCTACTGATGAGGTACCTCTAGTACGCTGCTTACCTTGTTTATTTTGTTAAACACAGTTAATAACCGATAAAAAAAATACAGTATGCAGGTTCTGCTTGGGACGAGCTGAAGCATATTCGACAAGCGATCGGGTTTCTGGTATCTCTCCATCCTTTTATTATGTTCAATTCTTCCCACAAAACTTCCTGAATTAGAAAACATGAAATAGAGCTGAATTCTTGCTTTAATAATGTAATAGGTCATTCATCAGAAGCCAAAGAAGACACTCGATGAAATAAGCCACGATCTATGCCCTGTAAGTGACGTCTCAGCATATGTGTACAATGAATATCTAAGTACCGTTTTAATCAGTCATTCTCCATTTCCTCAGAATTGAATAAACCAAACTATTCACTCACAGGTACTAAGTATTCAGCAGCTGTATCGTATAAGTACGATGTACTGGGACGACAAGTATGGTACCCATAGTGTTTCCCCTGATGTAAGCTTTTACTCATTGTGTATCATCTCTTGTAGTTCAAATCTAGAAGTTTTTGTATTCAGCACCCTTGTTTACATTCATCTTTTTGCAAATGTGCATGGATCTTTATTGTTCGAATATTTTTTTAGGTTATATCCAATATGAGGGTGCTAATGACCGAAGATTCGAACCATGCAATTAGCAATTCATTTCTATTGGACGACGATTCAAGGTTAGTACCAACAACACTCTCACTACTCTATCTTGTGACTTTTCTTTTGTCAAATATTTCTGTAGTTGTTTTCTCATCTTTATATACTTGTAACTGCATAGCTAAATTTGATTGTAGTTGATCTCTTGATCACTAAGTGGATAACTAGACAAAATGTTTTCCATTTATTTAGAAGTTTGCCAAAATTGCAACCCGTGCTTGTTCTTAGTTCTATCTTCTACATTTATTTTAGAATAGATTACATATTTATTCCCAATGTTGTAACCAATTTCGTTTTTGTACTTTAAAATTTTTCATTGTCAATCTCTATCCTTTGATTAAAGTTTACTAGATTTCCTCCTCATAAGTGAAGGGTAACCCTAAATCCAACCTGACAAGTTATTTATAGACGTGTTTAATATTAGTTGGGAAAACAAAACAAAACAACCTTGACATATTTGTTGGTTTTTTGTATTTCAGCATTCCATTTTCAGTTGATGATTTATCAAAGTCCATGGAGCAAATAGACATCGGAGACATCGAACCACCGCCACTGATTCGCGAGAACTCGGGCTTTAGTTTCTTGTTACCACGAACGGACTAATGGATGAATCTTCAATCTCTCTCTCTTGGAGCATAATTCGCCAAAGTTTCGATCTTAATTAAACCCCTCAAATGCTGAGTTCTAGAGATTCAAACATGCCTTGCAGTTTGAAGTGAAATGGAGCTCACCAATCTTCCTCCAAATGGCTTAGATATTGCTTCAAATCACTTCCTAGCATTGTAGCCCAATTTTTTTTCTTCTTTACTACACTTTGTATGAGTTTAGATTTTTTGAGACAGAACCAGTGAAGTAGAAGGCATCCATCCTATCATAGATCTCCACATTTTTCTTTGTATTTTAGTTGTACTTTCTCTGAGATTGTTTCCATTACCTTTATAAATAATAAATTAAATCATCAGTTCAGAAGATGTTTTGATCAAATTTGCTGACAAATGCACCTTTCCTAGAGTAGCATAATATTCATATAAGTGTATAGTACTATCATATCCAAGATTAAAGTAAAGAGAAAAGTAGAGAGGAATTGATGAAGTAACCTTAGGCTTGGCTTGACTGAAGGAACAGCTTGTATATTTAGGAATGAATAGACGGTGTTACTTATTACAGTATAAACAAATCATATTGCTTATAACAAAACCAGTAAAGTATCGACCTTAAAGTTGAGCTATTATTATATATCATCCTTTGTCAATATTCATACATTCCCTTCAAGATCATGGCTCTTTTAGCTCATAGATCTTTGTCGGATCCATTTTTAGACCGACTGCTCGTTTGAGCGTTTCGAGCTCTGATACTTTATCAATATTTATGGGGTTCATCTCAGAATCAATGGACAATGAGAGGAATAGTTCATGTCTATTATAAATCTTTGTTAGGTCTCTTATTTTTTCAATATGGGATCCTCAAGGATAAGGTCAAATCTTCGAATCTCCACCCATCATTCAACTCAAAAGATAATAGTAATAAATAAATAAAAAATTAACATTTAAGTATGCTCGCAAAGAAAGTAAAAAAAAAAAATCATCCGTTGAAGGCATAATTTATTCGTAGTTAATTTCTAAAAAATGGGTCTTGAAAGTGTTTATCAACTTCAATATGTTTATACTTTGCATGAAATATGGGATTGAAGGCTTGAGACAAGTAGTGTCTAAGGTAGCACATTAAGTAATTTAAATAAGAATAGCTTTAACTTGTAAGCTGTTGAGTCTTTTATTATTATTTTTTTTAGTGTTCAATGACACGTGGTGTGAAAGTGATGATTTGAACCTCCAATCTTCATGTCGAAGATATGTACCTTAAATTAGTTGAATTATGTTCAGGCAAGCCTTAAATTGAGACATATAGATACAAAATAAAAACAAGGTCCATCTTCAATGAAAAATACTTAATTTCTTATCGACTATGACCAAATATTGTCATCATCACCATTATGAATATTTGACAATTAAGAAAGAGAAATCTAAAAGCATATATTTTTATTTTTTAAATAATGAATTATCAATTTTCAATGGTAGTGAGAATAAGATTTGGGGGAAAATATCCGAGTATTAATTTTTTTATTATAAATTATATGGGACATATAAAAATATGGTGGCCTTTTAAGAAAAGTAGCTCACAGAGCGGGCCAATTTACTTTATTTTATGGAATCAAGTCAAATTTGAAGTTTGAATAAGTCTTGAAATTTTCATAATGTTTCAATCATATTTACTAGTCACATCAATAATGACCAAATTTGTTTAATTTTCATCTGCAATATACTAATACTAGTCAAATTCTATGCCTATGCAAATCAACATCGCGATCACAATTATAGATCAATGGATACAATTTTTTGGGGGAAAAAAGGAAAAAAATTAAAAATGACAAAAATAAATTTCTTTGATCATCAAACAAAAGTAATCAATCATCTATTTTGACTTTGAATGATTATCTTCTATTAAAGAGAAAAAAAAAAGATCTAGAAGCTCTAAACCGAACTCGATTGACTGTTACGTAAGTTACAAACTTCCAACTTTTGGTCAATTTTTGGTACATGTATGAAGAGTAAAGTTATTATATATCATCACGTTGAATTGTCACAGCATATTTTTCTTTTTTTAGTACAGCAAAATGTGAGGATTTGAACATTCTACTTTTAGATAATGAAAACAAGTTGATATCTTAACTGTTGAGTTAAGTTCATGTTAACATTGTCACATATGATAGAGTTTCTTTGATATCTTAAAATATATATTTTCTAAATTTCCATAATTTTAAGTATGTACTCACGTGCGAATGGAAAATTTGAGAATATGATAGACTATATTAACATGTGAGATAATGATAAATTTTAAAGTATGATGTTTTTGAACGGTCATATCTCAAGATAGTAATTATATATTCTTTTATAAATTAATTAAGTAAAAAATAAACCATTCTTCAAACTACAGAAATTAAAACAAGCAATTAGTTTTTATATCAATTGTTTTAGGTGGAATTAGGATGTTGAGGTCTAATGGTAGAAATCTATATTGAATCATATATACTTTATGAATATATGCATTGATTTTCTTATTTATTTATTTTTGAAATCATATGTTGACTTGACTCTTGAACCAATTGAAGTGGAGTTGAAAAGGATCAAATAGATCATATAGCTTTGACTGAAAAATTTAGATCAAAGGCTAATTAGTACTTCCAAAAATAATTTTAGGGTTTGTGAGGTAAGATAAAGGGAAGTAATTTAAAGTTATTTGTTCTTTTTTTTTTCTTTATTAATCCTTCTTAATTATGGGCTGTTGTCTTTATCCAAAACCAAGGTCTTGTAGATTAGTTCAAATATTTTGACTTAAAATTTGATGCATCTGCTTTTAGGTCACAAAAAGATTAAAAGGAAAGACATCATGTGTATGCTTAATTATAACTAACTTCGTTATTGTATTATTATTTTATTTTAGTTCAACTTTCAACTTTTTACCGATTGATTACTCCTTATTTAATTTTATTTTGAACTTTAAATTAAAGCATATTGATTTATGAAGTTCATGCGATAGTTTAGCTATGGTGGGAGTTAGTTGTGGTCTTAATTTAGGTATTTGGTGAAATAATAATGTGAAATAAGAATTCAATTATATTATTAGGATTTTATAGTTAAAATGAAAATGTTTTAATTTTAGTCTTTAAAATTGAATGGAAAATTACTATAGTTCTATGTAATTCATTTTTAACTATTTAACACGAGATATTTTTTTGTTTATTTATTTTGATGAAGATAGGAGTTTTGAAATCATATATAGTAGGTTAGATATTGATTCCGAATAGATTTAGTTTCTTAAAATAATGAGAAAAGTCTAATTAGATATATATATATATATATATTTTTTATATATACAAAGCTCAGCAGGGACATCTCAGGATGATATGTGCCCTTTAGGCAAAATTTTAAAACGGAGGTCTTAATACGAGTATTTTTTTAGTTGAACTTTATTTGATTAGATACTGCATTATCTACTCTTTTTGTTTAAGTTTTGATTTATTTATATCTATTATTTCTTCTATTATGTTATCATTTTTATTACTTTTACTTCTACTAAAAAAAATTTATTGATAACATTTTTTCATATTCAATCTCTGTTTTTGTAGTACATTTGTTAGATTCAATAAGTTTTTATATTTTATGTTTTCTTAAGTTTGATGGGTTCTCCATGCCTTGTCTTCGTTATTTTTTCGTCTTATGCTATTTTCTTAGTTTGATGGGCTTTAGTCCCCTTTCCTTCCCAAAAAAATTAAAAATTAAAATCTAGAGAAATTTATTTCCAAGTGAATTATATTTATTATTAGTTTGTATTTTCAATATTATAAGAACAAAATCCATGAAAAAATATTATTTTATATTCCAAATTACATTTATAAGTAAAAACTAAAATAAATAGATAACAATATTATATTATATTGTATATACTAATATATGAAAAATATGAGGCTTCGTAAGATTAGGGGCTGTCTATATCTTAAGCCAACCCTAGAACTTAGACATTTGGAAGTTTGAAACTAAAACAGAAGAACCACGACAAATAGTAAACATAAATTTAGACATTATCCCTTTTGATAACCATTTTTTTCTTTTTAATCAAATTTGTTTAATTTACTTATAATTTTATTTGTTTAATAATCTAGCTGGCCCTTGAAAACTTAAATTTAAAAACCAAAGTAGCTCTTAAATTTTAACCCTTTTCTTTTTCAAATTTAAAATTTAGTTGAGATTTCAAAAGTAGTATTTCTATGAAAGCTAAAAGAAACTAAAGTATACTGATAATAAACAAGTTTAAAGTTCAAAAAATTCATTCATATACATACAAAGGAGCCTTTGTATCATGAAAGTTGGAGATTTCTTTAATTTGTTTAAAATTTTTATATATTTGCCAACCAACAAAAAACAAGTATGTAAATGAATATTCTATTGAAACAAAAAAGAAGATTGAAATCCCAGAAAGGTGTTGGGAAGATCATTCTCTCTTCCAAAACAACCACCTTCATCTAGATGGAGCAACGACGACCTGTCGTCTGGGACTCCGATAGCTTCCAAAAGCAACGTTGAAGACGGAGCTCGGGTGGCGGGAGGTGGTCGGTGGTTCGTCGGAGAAATCGTGGCGTCGGAGTTGAAGCCAGTGAGTTGCTGAACAATGGCTCTGAAGTCCATTGCATTGCTTGCTTTCACCATCATTGGGCTTGAAATGTACTTTACTTTTATGGGTTTTCTCTGAACTTTGGTTGTGTTTTGGCTCTGGCTATGATTCTTGTATTGGTTCATCTCTCCACACTTTCCCATCACAACACAGATTTCTGTTATAACTTGCAAGTACAAAAAGAGGGTTTGATGGGAGAGAGATGGTTGTTATCTACAAACTTGTAAGTTCAAAAATGAGATTTGGATGGGAGAGAGGTAAGTATATAAAGAGACTTTGAGAGCAGGATATCTGAACCAGGATTTATAATATAAGCGAATTAATCATTATCTCAAGATCCGAGTCTAAAAAAATTAAAACTTTAATATGGGATCCTTTGGAGAGAAGTTTGTATTTTGGTGGTAGGAAATAGAGGGGAAGGAGAGTGGGGTAGTAGAAAGAAGGCATATGGAATTGACTAAGGAAAATTATTTGGTGTATAATTAATGAAGCAAAGGACTGTTGCTTTTTCTATACAATTGGTCAATTTTTCATTTTGGTCCTTGGGTTGTTGGCAATATTGTATCTTCTAAATTGTCTGCTTAAACGTCATAATCCCACTTCCAAAAACTAAAAAATATAGTTATGAAATTCCATTGGGATTATCTTTTGATCATTTCATCACATATATATCCATCAAAATTAGTTCTAGTCTTTTATCATTAGGTAAGTGTCTTTGAAGTGTATTTGATAGAAATTTTACGTCGTGTGTATTGTATTTGGTACCTTGCCCTCTTGAAAACATATGTATTGTTTTCAAACATCGCTTTATGGTTAGAGATGTTCATGGACGGGGTGAGATGAATCGAGGATGGGGGAAGACTTTTCTCGTGCGTCTCTGTCCTCGCCCCCGTTTTATTCTCCATCTCCACGAAATTTTATAGTGATCAGAGTGAGATGTCTATAGAGAATTCACGGGGATCAAGTTCCACGAAGATTTTTTCCTCTTTTATTCATTTATTTTTAAAATTATTTTTCAATTAAATACTTTTTAAGAAAATTTCTAATTATTGTTAATTTTAAATCATAAACTTTTATTTAATGATATTAAATCTTAGGCATGTAGTCACGTAGTTTGAATTCATTCCCTCTAATCTTTTTATTATTTACCACCAAATCAGTTCAGGATTGTTCTGTATTGTTATTATTATTAAATAAATGATGATGACGTAACATGTCTATCCAACGAATTTTTGTTGATTTGATATGACGTAACATAGTAGATACAAAATAAAGTGACTGTGATCTATAAAGACAATGTAATAAAGTTTCTTAAAAAATGAATACAATATGCTATACGTGTCACTTAATTTTGATAAATTAATTAGCTTCCGTTGCATTGTGGGCATGAACAGGATCTCCAAATCAAGGGTTGATTGATGAAAATTGTACCTAACTTCGTACATTCCACGAGGCTAACATCTAATTAATTACTTTAATTATTTTTTACTCTCTAAGTCCACTTTTCCCATTTCATCTTTTTGACCAATTTAAGGGAAATCCCAAAATTAATTATTTGGAGAAATTAGAGAGAGATATCACCAGACAAAGGCAACTTTTGAAATTTTAGTTAAATAAAAAGGATTCTACTTTTACCTTTATTAATAATATAAATTAAAGGTAGCCATAATAATGTTGGGTCAACACACGTGAACTTTTGGGTAAAAATAGCCACACAAAACTTAGAAGCTGGTTTGATTTTGGTTTGCTTGGAAAATATGGAACATCATCCAAAATTTAAACAAAAAAAAAAAAGTCAAAAAGTCAAAATAGTGTCCTCATCCTATTAAATCATAATTTTGATAATGTTGATACGGAGTTATCAAGGTAAGAGTTATTGTGTTTAAATATCAAAATATAATTCAATCGATAAAATAAATATATTCGACGAAAGATACGAGATTCGATCCATACCTTCCTATATTGTTGGGTAAAAAAAAATGTGTTAAATTCAAACATATTAACTAGTTGTAAATTAACTTTTAAAATGTTTGGATATTAAATAGACATCATTATTTATTCTAAAAAAACATACAATTATCCAAAAAATTTTAAAAGAGGGTGAAAGTAGTGTTTTCCAATTTAATTTTAAACAAAACAATCCAAAATAAAATGGTTATTAGGGTTTTAGTATATGAAAAAAAATGAAAAAAAAATCCAAAAAACATATTGTTGGTTTTTTTTGTTTGGTTGTATATGAAAAAAAGTACTTTCGAAAATTTTGAAAAACGTATAAAATCACTCTATGAAATTAATGTCAATATTTAATCACTTATTTACTACTACAATTATACAAACTATGACTAACTAAAAATCATGAATTGATAAGGAAAAAAAGATCACTATTGACTTTGCAATGCTGGTCTAAAGGTTTAGTTTGCATCTATACGATTAATGGATTTGAATGTGAAAATCAACGAAATATTTATGAAAAAATTACAAATTAATACATAATATTTGAAAAGTTGAAGGATTGAAATAAAAAAAATTAAATGTACATACCAAGATAAAATATATGGAAGTTTTTGAGACCTTTCAAATATGATTAAACAATCAATAAACCAAAAGCTTAAACTGTAATTAAGGCAAATTTAATCATTTATAAGATATTTAAGACTCTTTGTACTTAAACTAATGGGTCAGGACAAATTTAATCCTTTATAGAATATCTAACCAGACCAAAATAAGTTTAAAGTTTAAATTAGATTTTGATACCTGAAATTTTAAAATTATTCAATTTTAGTCCTTAGATTTTCTAAATGTGTTTGTTCTAGTTTTTAATAAGGAATTTCAAGTTTATTTGTAAACCTAAACATAGTCCAACTATGTATATTATGACTAAAAAGTCGTTGACTTTCTATTGCACTTTTGTCTCTAAACTTTCAAATATTTATTTTACTCCCTAAACTTTAAAACAAAATAACTATGTTATAAATTTGTTGTTTGTGTATTTACTTGCTAAATGTGAGCATTGGAGCCTCATAGTTGGCGAGTATTAGTTTAGCTAGGCAGTATTAACGATGACAAAAATGGTTAGTTAAAAAATCAAAGACCAAATAGATATTTTAAAAGGTTCAACAACTAATTTTGAAATTAAAAAAAAAATATATGAAGATTGAATAGACCTTTTAAAAGTTAATATGGATCAAAATAAAGCAAATCTAAAAATTCATTGCCAAAATAAGATTTTAAATATAGGATTAAAAGTTATGATAAACTTTGGTAAAGGGAAAAAAAAAAGACTACAAATTTGTAATTGCTAAGTCAAAAAGTTTAGTTAGCATCTATATGAGATGATTGATTTGAATGTGGAAAATTGAGAATATACAAAAATTTTGGTCCACAAACTCTACATGCAGTCATTATCACTAAATTAAGTCACAATAATCTCTTGACCCAATTTGTTTTATAATTTGGCTTAATGGACCATCTACAAAGAGAGGGTATACTAGCTTTGCTAAATTAATTGTGTATTATATACAATAACTACAATAATAATCTTTTTGGGCTTACTTCTTTGACTGTCCAAGAGTACTCTTTTATTGATCAATAATTTAGAACTACTAAATTAATAAACTAATATTTGTTTGTAACTGAGAAAATGATCTTGTTGCATATGGCTGTAGATTTTTTTGTTTCTTTTTTATAGATTCAAAATTTCCACTCAAATTTGGTCTTTAATCATCAAGGAAAAATTTATGGATGTTACATAATATATATATATATATATACATATTTTATTTTTTCAGTATACATCAGGTAGGGACAAAATTCGAACTTACGACTTTTTAATTAAAGACAGGTGTCTTGAGTTATGCTCAGGTGGGTTATATTAACACAATTATTTAAGATAAATTTTGATCATAATTTAATATTTGCATTCAAATTTTAGACAATTAATTGATTTTTTATAGTTTCTTTTCCATTTTTCAACATTTTGTTTCATAGGATCATTTTGTTGATGCTGACAATCAATTGTAATTTCGATCTTGATTTAATTATAAAACAAAAGATACAGAAAAATTTATTGGTATACAAAGGCCAGTTGCAGTTTTTTTTAATCAATATCATGTAAATTAATTAGTGATTGTCATAAGATAGTTAATTAATTATCCATTGATTGTCATCGTTGAAGCTAATAAGTGATTAATAAAGTTTTCTAAAAATGTTATCCTAATGTTATATTTGTAATTACATGTATATAATAGTAATATTTTCATATATTTAAAAAAATGAATCTACTTAGTAAAAATTTATCATTTGATTTTGTGATTGAATTTAATTATTTTTACAGTTAGGTTGAACTATTTTTATTGTTGGATGGCAAACTATTGTATGTCCACTTTTATTTTTATTTTAGGATAAAAAACTTTTTTTGTATCCAAGAGGTTTGGACAACAAGTCTCTTTCGTCCCTAGGTTTTAAAATTGTACAAATGATCTGGTTCGCGAAATCTAATTTATGTTAAATTGACTGGTAACGAGTAAAATTGAGTATTTACAAAACTTTAAGAATTCAATTATATAATTTTGAAACGAAGGGAGGTTTATACCCAAAAAAAAAAGGTATATTACCTCTCTAATTTTAAGTACTATAATAATTCAAGCATAGGGAGTGGATAAGACATCTGTTAATATGTCAAAGATGAATGTGGTTTATATTCTCCGTTATAATTAATTAACACTAAAAATTATTTATTAGGTTTTGTTTTTAGTTCACCTTATACCTCTTATTCAAATTCAATATAAGATTAAACCAAATGTATAACAATTCAATTTATATCAACTATAATTTATCTCTCACACATTAAATACAAAATTCCCATAAAAACTACTCTTTGAAGCTAAAAGCTCATCACCACTCCTCAACTTCTTCATCTTGATCATCACCAATACGTATTAACGCAAGAAGCTTGAAACCCAGAAAAACCCTGCATTTCATCTTGCCGGAAGCAGCCTTCGCCGAGCTCGCCGACCTTACCGGAGACCAAGCCATAATAACCCTTAGGGTCCGTCGACACCGCCGTAGACGGCGGAGGAGGATAAAAAGCATGGTTTAATTCTTCTTCTCCTCCAAAAGCTGGTGATTCAAAAGCATCATCGGGCGAGTTCTGGCCGGTAAGCCTCTGAACTATTTCTCGAAACTCTGATTCGGAGTTCGCCTTCACCATCATCGGGTTCGAAATGTACTTGACTTTGATGGGCTTCTCCATTATTGCTCTATTGGGAGCTTGGCTTCTTTGGTGATGACGGTGATGATCAGGAAGGCTTCTTCTAAGGTTATCCATATTTAAAAAGTTGGAGAATATTGGGAGAAGGGAAGAAGTTGAATTTGAATGTTATTTTTGTTTGGGGGAGAAGTTGTGTTTTTGTAGAGTTGTAAAGAAGGGTTGTTTCGTGGAAGGAGAGATGATTGAGAAAGGAAGGAAAAAAAAAACACAAAAAATGAAGATGGTGGTTGAAATAAGAAAAAAAAAGGTGTGTACTTGTTCATTGTTATATGTGTACGATTCCGCCCTATTGTTAACTTTCTAACATGGCTGCCCTTTTTGTTGTAGTTCATTGTATAAAATGTCAATGTCTCTGGGTGAGATGTTGAGGTCTCAAATTTATAAATATATGATTATGTTAAAGATAATTGTTAGAATCCATATAAATAAATTAAATTTACCCAACTCATTAGCTTAAACTTTTGGGTTGAGTGGTGGTTTATTCATTCTTAAGATGGTATTAGAGTAATGGTATTAGAGTGGGAGATCTGTATTGATATTAATGGATATTATTAAAATAGAATTATAAAAAGCATAAAGGTTATAAAAATTATTTCTGTTAATAATTTAAATGTTTAAATTTATATATTAAGATTTGGATTATTATATTGATTGACATTGACTCTCTTGATATTGATGTCAAATTTTCCTAATTTAGGGATATATTGACCTGCGAGAGATATTTTAATTCTTGGTTATTTGGGTACGTAGTTTTATGATATGATGAAAGTTTTGATTAAAAGTGTTCATATGATCAATTATTTTTCAAGTTGTCCCTTCAGGGAAGGGTAGTTGGAGACTTGAGATACCAACTACCTTAGTCTCAAATTCAAGCCTTGCGTTGGTCACAAGTGTTGCTCAGCCCAAACAACGAGCTTCTGTTATAGGGATCTTGGTCACAAGTACTGTTCAACCCAAGCAGCGAGCTTCTGTTATAGGGATCTACTAGCATAAACCACAAGATATCAATTCTAAAAAATAAAAAAATATAATATATATTTTTCAAGTTCACCAATGTGGAGATGGAGATTTGAGCTTCTAACGTTTAACAAACAAACTTTCATATCGATATTGAAAAACTTGTATATTTTTAATATGAAATTGATACTTTAAAAATATTAAAAATAAAATTGAAAAATGGTATGCACGCTTAAAAAGCCAAATCATATATTTAACCTTCTAATTTATAGAGTTAGAATATCTTGATTATAATTTTGTTTAAAGCTTTTAAAGAAAATATTTAACTGGCCTAAAAGGCCAATTCCAATTAAAATTTTCCTCAAAACCATTGGAACTAGATTTATGGTTTGCTCTTTTGATAGCTAGACCAACCTTAACAATGAAGTAAGATATGCAATTTTTTCAAAATTTTAGACTAATATATTGTATATTCTATGGAGAATTTCAATATGATTCTTCTTTCTCTTCCAATTATTCATCATCTTTTAAAAAAGATATACATTGACCAAACATCTAAAATTCTTAAACTTTATGATATACATTGACCAAACATCTAAAATTCTTAAACTTTATGCTATTTTCTATAGAGAAAAATATAATCTATGACAAATTAGAAACATGTGGGTATGACAACCTATTATTTTAAAGTTGTTCATTAAATTCCACGAGATATTACCTAGTACTTTTAAGATCTTTTTATGTTCCCTTTATCATTACACATTTTGACTAACTTTGGAGCAATTTTGGATTATATAGCGAAGATCATTATTATTATATCTCTTATAAACAAAAGATAGAAAGTTAGAATTCTTTGAATCCTTCATCCTCACATCATGTTATTAGAACTAGAAAAATGATATAATATATATATATATATATATAGTCATAATCTGATTATTATATCTCATTTGAACAAAAGATGGAAAGTTAGAATCCTTCATTCTATAGAAAGTTCGAATCCTCCGTCCTCACATCATGTTATTAGAACTAAAAAAATGATATAATATATATATATATATATATATATATATATATATATATATAACTCTATTGATAAAAAAAGAAAAAAAAGTTTATCTTTTATTTTTCTCCTGATATAAACTCTATTGATAAAAAAAAAAGAAAAAAAGTTTAGATTTTATTTTGTTCATTAAATTTTTATACTAAATTCTTTTTTGAACGTCAAACTTTGAAATATTTTGTTTTAGTCTTTCAAATATAAAAAATAATTTTAGCCATTTTATTTTTTTATAGATTATTTAATAGAAATCTAACATAACCACATATTTTATAAATTATTTAGTAGATATACCTACGCATAAATATTCGAAGTCACATAATAGTATGCTATGTGTTTGGATTTCAAAATGCAATATATTTATATTTTATGTTTAAAAATTAATGAAAAATTAAATGGGAAAACTAAAATAAGTATTTATAAGGGTTTTAGAAATTAATAGAAAATTGGGAGTTTAAGAATAAAAAAATAATAAATGTTGAACTTGAGGAACTAAAATGAAAATCTGAATTAGGAGGTTTTTTTTTTAACAAAAAATTCGTGTAAAAACTTCACAGATTTAAACAACTCCAAGTACTTCATTAAATAGTTGTACTAAAAAAACACAAGAAAAACTACTTCATTAAGTAAAAAATATTTAAATAAATAATGTTAACTAATTTTCAATAAATTATACCTAATTTATTGTGTTAACATAGCTTAATTGAGTGATAATTGGCTTTCCCCAAACTTTTTGTATTATACAGCTTATTGACAATACTCCACAAACGTAGTGGTTTGTTAACCTAAACTTTAAATAATAAAATAGTTGATAATTAACCTTTTATAATATAACATCATCCACTCAATTTTTGAGTAATGATAACTAATTTTCAACAATATATATTAATAAACAAGAAAAACCCTATCCTAATCTATAGCATTATTTAAAAAGAAAATCATTAAAAATGATGGACTACATATAACTTTTGAAATACTAAAATAATTTGTATTTAAAAATATTGATATATCAATCATAGAGATTGTGAAAAATATATATATTTCATAACAAAAAGGAGTCATTTCACAATTATTATTTGTATAATTTGAGTCAAAAAGTAGTTGTTTGCAATTTGCATCTAGCCAGGGATGATTGGTTTGAAAGTTGAAATCAAGAGCAAATATCAAACAAAATGAAAGTCAAAATAGTCTAAGTTGATCAATTAATAAATATTGTTTATAAAATATGGTTTCATAGACCATCTAGAAACACGTAACACATCTGTTAGAGATCATATATTATTTACAAAATTATTACGCTTACTAAATTAAAAAAAAAATATTACACTTGAATCTTGATTAATTGGCTAAATCTTCTGGTTTGACTGATTGAAAAGACTGTTAATGGTCAATAATAATTTTTTAATCACTAATAATTAGAAAAAACAAATTGTAATTGTAACCATTATTTAATTTACATTATGGACGTTCTGGTTTTTTCTTCATATTTTTTTAAACAAAATTTCTAAACATTTACTTTTATTAGAATCTCAGTCATATTGTTAAGTTTTATAAAATTTATTTGTACAACCTTCTGTCTCTTTCCCTTTTGTATATAGAATATAAAGTTTTAAATTCATTTTTATTTAGATTTTTACTTTTTAGGGTACACACGATTATCTTCTTCCTACCCAAAAAAAAAAATATATATATATATATATATATATATAAAATAATGTAACCACAGACCAATTACGGAAGGAACAGCTGATATGATATGTTTTGGTCTTAATCTTTTAATATTTTTTCAATTTTATTTTTTATATTTAAAATGTTTCAATTTAGTCACTAATATTTTAACACTTAGATGAATGTTAAAATTGGTCGATTAATAAACTTAAATGTGGGATATAAAACTCAATAAATTTGTGGATATCGGGGGAAACATACTATATCTAGGAGATAAAGTTTATAATTCCACGGTCTAAATTTTATAATTGGTAAAAGTTTTAAATTTTATTCTCTGAGTGACTTTTTTTTATCTTTTAAATTTCTACGAATTCACTAAATATTATGTCGTCATGTAATATTTGAATCTTTGTCAATTTAGTCCATCACAATGACGATGGACTAAATGAAAAAAGTTTAAAAAAAATTTAGAGACTAATTGTTGAAACTTTTTATCATTAGGGCCTAAAGTGAAAATTTTCCCAAACATTAAGGACTAAAACGTAATATTAGCGTAGATTTTAAAACTAACTTTGGATATTTTTTAATTAATTTTCTAAAATTAGCAATGATATATGACATGCACATACTAATTTGCATTTTTATTTATTTTGAAGTAGTTTCAGCATTTGCCCATTTTCCCATTTTCCCAAATGGTCCAAAATGTTTGGGGAACATTGAGCTACATCTGGACAGCCAGTTTTAGGCCCAACCAAAATTATCCATGCAAACTAATTTGATTTATTAGAATATCATTCCCAAAACAAAATCAGTACTTAAAAAAAATATATTCATCAGATTAACCATGGCAGAGGGTTGAGTGTGAAGAAATTTAAAAAAAATAAAAAAATCATATGAAAATTGGGAATTTGTACCTGTCTACCTTAAAAGAGAGATTAAAAATTAAAAGATAATTATCGGCCTAAATTTTGCTAATACTCTGATCTTGTCTCTAAAATAAATTACTAATAAACATGAATTTTGTCTTACCACCATTAAATATTTGACAACTCATTATTTTTTAAAAACACTTTTGATTTTGTATTTCTCTCCCTTTCTTTAGATATTTAATGGTGGTGAGATCAAAATTGCTCCATATTAGTGAGGATCCAAAATTTTACATTTTTTTTTATTTGTTCACTTTTTGGTCCCTGAACATCAAATGTTGTGTATTATTTACCCTCAACTTGTTGGAATGTTTTTGTTGCATTTTTTTTAGACTTACAAAAAATTATTTTAGTATTTATTGTTAATTTTT